CTATGAATAAGTTGCGTCCTATTGGTCGTTTACTAAGTTGAATCAGGCGGTTACGCCGCACGTCGTCATGGTGCGATTTGGCACCCCGGGCTAGACTGTGGACACTTTGAGTTTATATTTGCGTTTGTGTTTTCTTTGTGTTTGAGTTTGGGTTTGCGTTTGTGGTTGTGTTTGCGTTTGTTTTCGTTTGCTTTTTTTTTCTTTGCGTTTGTGTTTTCGTTTGCTTCTTTTTCTTTGCGTTTGTGTTTTCTTTGTGTTTGTATTTGCGTTTGTGTTATGTTTGCGTTGTTTTTTTTTGTGTTTTGGTTTTGTTTGGTTGTGGTTGGGTTTGTGTTTGCGTTTGGATTTGTTTTCGTTTGCCTTTTTGTTTGCGTTAGTGTTTGCGTTTTTTTGCGTTTGTGGTTGGGTTTGTCTTTGCGTTTGTTTTTGTGTTTTCGTTTGTTTTGTGTTAGTGTTATGTTTGCGTTTTTTTGTGTGTTTTGGTTGGTTATGGTTAGGGTGGGCAATGCCGGGTTTATTCTGATTACTAAACACACAAGTTATGGTACTTTACAGATACGTTTTTCAAAGATGCCACTGCATGGCCTGACTAGTAAATAAATAAATTTAAACCCCATGACCTAGTTTTTCTATTTTTAGCTTACAATGTGTACAATAAAATTTATGGCGGCCTATCGAATAGCAGGATGCCATTGTTTATGTCGCCATGACACGTGAAAACCAAATTGTTTTTGCTTTTTTTTTAAATTTTATTTAGTTACCGAAAATATTAAAAAGATCAAATACATCCAATCTTTAGTTAAGTCCGAAAAATACCAGACAGGCAGGATTTTAAAACCATGTTAATTGTAACTACGCCGTGCATGATTTTTAAATTAATTTATGGACCTCTCAAATACCTTTAAGACTTTTCTCGCTGGCGTCTATTAGAAAATGTGTGACCTCAACTGTAAGACCAAAGGTTTGGTTACATATAGGCTACTATTTAAAATCTTCCACCTATTAGGTTTAGTGGTAATATAAATTCGAAAAGCGTGCTTTTATACCAACTCTGATTTTAAAAACTTAAATTATACCGTAAGATTTTAGCATTTATGATGACAATATATTTAATTCTGATTGTAGAGAACATATTTTTTGTAAAAACGAATAAAGTTTTTTTACTACGAACGAAAGTAATTAGTTATGTTTTGACATTTACAATTACAATTAAATTTGTAGAAATTAAGAGAGTGATTATTTCCCCTAGTTCGTTTGTCTTAATTTTCTAGGAATCATTATGTCAAATTGTTTTTTTACAAGGATTGCAAATAGATTGTGTTGCGTTCATTGTGTGTATCTTTTTTTTTTGTTTTTTTTTTAAATTTAGAGTGATAAATTGTTTTATTTTGTCGACCAACATTGTGTTTTTTTTTTTTTTTTTTTTTCAGAGTACTTTCAGAGTACTTTCAATTTATTTTACATCCTAGTGAAGCAATGACATACAGCTAGTAAATATATATATATATATATATATATATATATATATATATATATATATATATATATATATATATATATATATATATATATATATATATATAATGAATTTGAACCCCCCCTCCCCCCATGAGACGATCCTGGTACGCCACTGAGAACGACAACAAAAGCAAAACAAATCAGACGGCAAAAGTAGAGAAATAGTCAGACAGACAAATAGACAGACAGATAGATAGAAAGACAGTCAGACAGACAGACAGATAGACAGACAGACAGACTCATAGAAAATCAGATCGATAAACATCAGACGGATTTGCGATGTAACAGATAAATCTTATACATTTCCCATTATCTTCCTCCATCTTTCCTTCTCCCCACGCCCCCCCCCCCATCCCCAAAACTCCCTGGCCGGTGGGTCACTCTCCTGACCCCAACGCCCTGACAAATTCCGTCGTAATTCCCTAGACCGCCCCATTGCAAGCCGGTCTTTTCAATCGCTCCAGTTCACGGATTGCCGGAAAATTCCGGAAATAAAAGAAAACGCAAGGCTCGTGTCACGTGGGGTCTGGTGTGTAATCATCGGAAACGGCTCGACCGGAAATGAGTTTTTGTCGTCCCTCGACTCCCCCCCCCCCCCCCCCCCCCCCCCCATCCACATACTCAAACCACCTTTAGGCTGTAGATAATGATTTAGAATAGAAGAATGGCCTGTGCAATGGCCTACCCTTAAATTGTATGGGGGGATAGAAATAAACAAGCCATTGGCCATGCTTCTTTTTAACTAGGAAATATGTACATGTTGAATAGAAACATATTGATCTAGAAACATTTCAATTTAGTGTAGAATCAAGCCTTTTCAGTTAGAGTCATGTCCATTTTTATAAAAACTCTTGTTCTGTTCCGAGACAAATAATTTATTAGTATATTAGGGAGATAAGTCGTTCTGTATTGAGGTGAATGCAATTAATGCTATAGTGTTAGGTTCAAATCAGTTTCTTTTTATTGTTTCGGTGTTATACTTCGGTTTGGCCCTGTAAAGGATAACTGCAAATTGGGCTAAAATTTGTGATATGTGCCATATAAAGGACGCCACTTTGAGATACCTCACTATGCTATAGATCATCTCTACCTTGATTCAATACCTGCGATACAACTGAAGTGAGCAATCAAATCAAACGATGTACCAGACGTCCCACTCACACCTATTTACCTACCTGTCCACTTACCTTCACTTCCCTCACTCAACCTTTAAGATAGATAAGCAGCTTCTTGTAAACGTAATAATACTAATCGCTCACTCCTCAAATGTGTTTCACTTTCGCTCTTTGTGTATTTATTGTTCTACACATGAGTAGTGCAATCGATTACCGTGGAGTACTCATTCAATAACATTCTAGTACTATGTAATGGCGTTGAGCATTGTTTAGTAACGTATATAATCTTAACGTATATAACTGCCGTAGCGACCGAGCAGTACATATATTCCTATACATGGCCCGTTCGATCATCGCTACACGTTATAAGGAATCTTGTTATATGGCAAGAAGGGCGTGGAAAGATAATTCAAATATTTTGTTATATTAAAAGTTAATGGGACGTCGTGGCTTAGCGTAGAACGCTAAACTCCAACCCCGAGAGTTTCGAATTCGGATCCGGATGCAGGTCAATAGGATTTCCATGTGTCCACACAGCTCTGGGTACCTAACTCATGTTAGGGAAAAGAAAGTCGGCTGGGCATTGTGCTGACCACACTATCCCTTCACACGACGAGAAATAGGTGAACTCTACTTCACTTGCTCCATTGACCGTGTGGTTCGAAAAGGGAACGTTTTCTTTTTACTGCTGGAGAGGCAATATTGTATAAGAATTTTTAGGTCTAGCAGAAGTTACGTTTTCGCAAAGGTTGAATGTATAGTTTGACAGCACTGACTTTTCAGTGTTTTATCTTTTAATGTTGCATAACGATATATAGGATAGGGGTCTTATATATGCCCAATTACTAGTCTGTATACAAATCTTTAAGATGCCCGATTCTTTGCATATGCTAAAAATCTTATATGTGCCCAATCGTGAGGAAAAAGAAGTAATACAACTTTTCTTCTTTGATTAAAAAATATATTAACATTTTTTTCTTTAAATTACATCACCTATTTAACTGATCACATCAAAGAAATTCAAAGAAAATGCCAGCAACTGAATGAGAGAAAATGTAACAATGAGCAAGTATCCAACATATATCACAGAAATTTTGCTGCATAGACATATTTTTACATACACATACAGGAACATACTGTCCGTTATTTTATTTATAGACACGAGTCCGCCATATCACAAAGGATATATTGTCTAGTCCTGCTGCTCGTCTCCACATTTATAAATAAAATAGAATACATCTATTTTATGAGAGTTGTTTTTTAATATCTAATCTGGCATTTCATGAAGAGAATAGCCGCCCTTTCATCTTTTTTAAAGTAAATAAATAAATCTCTATGTCGCCATTCATACCCCCTCCAAACGATATTTTGTTAGAACCCCCACCCCTCCCCTACCTCTCCACCCACCACCCCATTCCCCGTCTATTCTCAATTCATGCCGAAGATATCAGGCGCCCTAAGAAAGAGGCCGATATTTTTGGTTTATGTGGGTCTTGTCTGGAATAACTTTGAATGAAAGTATTCATAATTGGAACAAGACACGTCTCCATACTCTGATAGCGAAGAATGCATATTGTTGGAAAGGCTCTTCTCATATATATATATATATATATATATATATATATATATATATATATATATATATATATATATATATATATATATATATATATATATATATATATATATATATATATAATGATGAACTACAAAAAAAAAAACAGTTTTTTTTTTCTTTGTTGTTGACCTTTTAGCGTTTGAGTGTCGTGTGCTAGATTCTGGACTCCCTGTAACTCCCTATAATTTAAAACAGTCATGATCTATACATAAATCAACTTGTTTAGATTATTAATGTTATTCCTCTCCATCCCTCCCCCCCCCCCCCTCCCCAAGCAAGTTTTTCAAAATTGCAAATGTCCGGCTGTAAGATAAACGACTGACGTCATGTAGTATCTTCTCCATCTGACATCTTCGGGTTATTTATTCCCTCCTCTCTGATCCTGGTGTGGTGACCCCACTTTTGGTGATCACATTTTAGGGAATACCGTATTTGATCCCATATAGGGGATCCAATGGTGACCCAATGTTTGTTAACCTCGTGTGCATAAATCCCATTTCTTCTGATCCCTTTGTGTCGATCTATTTCTTTATGCCTTATAGCACCTGCCTCTAAAAACAACATAGATATCCTGTGTAATTCTTTCACCTCATGTCATGTTAATCCTTATAACAGTAAAGAAATTTCGCTTTTTTTTATGCTTATAAATTATATCCTTAAACAACATTAGACGATAGTGAATTTGATCCATCTAGTGGACGCCGGCCCCATGACATAGCTAACGAAGACCTGTTGCTTGAACCTTTCAGATCCGCGAGTACATGGACCAACTGCCCAACCACAAGGTGCCACGGGTCGACTCCCAGGGCGACAAGTACCGCGACCAGCAGATCATCAAGCAGCTGCCCAAGCAGGACCTCTCAGACCTCTACTGCAAGTACCTGGACGGCGAGACGGAGCGGAAGGAGTTCAACATCTTCAGGGAGCTTAGGGACCAGGTGGCCATGGGCATCGGCGTGGTCAGGGAGTGTCAGGTTAACACGGTAGGTCAAGGACGGTACAAGGTCAGGGGAGTGTCAGGTTAACACGGTAGGTCAAGGACGGTACAAGGTCAGGGAGTGTCAGGTTAACACGGTAGGTCAAGGGCGGTACAAGGTCAGGGAGTGTCAGGTTAACACGGTAGGTCAAGGACGGTACAAGGTCAGGGAGTGCTAGGACAGTATGGTAGGTCAAGGCTAGTACAAGGTCAGGGAGTGTCAGGTTAACACGGTAAGTCAAGACCAGTACAAGGTCTTACAGTATTAGGGCAGTATAGTAGGTCAAGGTCAGGGGAGTGTTAAGCTAACATGGTAAGTCAAGGACAGTACAAGTTCGGGCATGATCAGAAATGTATGGAAGGTCTAGGTAAAAGAGTGTCCATTTAACACGGTAGATCAAGGACAGTACAAGGCCAGGGAGTGTTGTGGGGAACACATAACGTCAAAGGTCATAGGCCAGGGTTAGTACCAGGTCACGGAGTGCTAGATTGACACAGTAGAACAAGGCCAGTAACAGGTTAGGGAATGCCAGGTTAACAAAGTAGGTCAAGGTTAGTAGGCTACAAGTTCACAGAGTGCTAGGTTAACCCAATATCAGGGAACTTTGTGGGAAAAAACAGTAGGTCAAGCCTAGCACTAGGTCAGTGTGAGCCAGGGTAACATGATAGGTCAAGGTGAGTACTTGGAAGGTCAAGACCAGCGGTCTGTCATCATGTTGGCCCCGTGCCCTAATATACACACAAAAAACACAATATTTGAAATAATTCTTGTAGAAAACATTGGCAGGTCATACCAAGCTGTTATTACTATAAGTTCTACCCTATGCCTAATTTGATCCTAACCACGAACTTTAACCTTATTTTATCCTAATCTAGTCCTTACAACAACCTTAACCTTGTGACAACGGTACTGTGGTTTATTTTAAATTCAGTATAGTAGTTTATTGTCATTTTTTATTTAGACATCGACAAATTTTATTTACAACCAAAATAATAAAAACAATTCGTGAGACGAAAAACATTGACCCCATATGTCAAGTCAAGACAAGCAAATCTTGACATACTCTGTCAAGTCAAGATCTAATATTTACCACATGTATCAAGTGAACATCTAACAATGACAACATCTGTCAATTCAAGATGACTAATCATTGACCACATCTATCAAGTGAATATCTAACATTGACAACATCTGTCAAGTATTGACCATATCTGTCAAGTCAAGACCTGAGGCTCACCTGCAAACTTTGACGTGTCTGTCAACCAGAATACAAAGTTCTCTCTCCCACGCCCTGTTATCACCGGCTACTCGAACGCCAGCCCATCCAGCACGACGCCACTCGTCTGACACGCGACCACTTCACTCCCACAAGACTGATCTATCGCTTCTGTCTGGAGGCATTGAGTGCTCTCATTGGAACCAATTGAGATGTCAACCAGCCTCCCTCCCCGCCGCCCATCCCCCACTTCTCCTGGTTCACCCTCCCACCCCCCTCTCCCTCCCACCTCCCCCTCCCTTTCCTCTATCTGCTCACACTGTCCTAGTTCCACGACCCATCATTTATCGTCTGGCTTGCAGCCCAATCAATCACAGCTGTGTTTATTTTTATTTTTTTAATCCAACATGATTTTGACAGCTAAGCTACTTTATAATATTTATTTTGAGCCTTGGTAATACATTTTAAAGTTGTAGTTCTGAAAAAAAATAATTCAAAACCTTTCAAATCGTAAAGAAGGATAGATCTATCTTTTTTTTCTTAAAATAAGTTTTAAAATCTCATCTGGTTGTCACATGCGTGTAGGGGAAATAACTGCGTAAAATATTTTTGTTCTGTGAAAAACATAGTTGTTTCCCTTATTTTATATTCCATACATACATTTTTAAGATACGATTTCTAAATAAAACATAAACATATAAGAAAATCTAAGATGTGTACAAAAAATATACATTTGAACAATCTGCAAGTTTTCTGTTTCTTTTTCTAGAGCTGCTACAACTGCAAGGGGGAGGTGGAGCACGGTGACCTGGTCGTCATGGCAACCAAAGCCGGGCAGGACGCCGTCTGGCACCCGGCCTGCTTCACGTGCCACACGTGCGAGGAGCTACTGGTGGACCTGGTGTACTGCCACCACGCCAAGAACTTGTACTGTGAGCGGCACTACGCCGAGCTCATCAGACCCAGGTGTCCGGGCTGTGACGAGGTAGGTCACGTCTGAGTGGTGAAGGTGACATCTGGATTTAAGAAGAGATCTAGGTGTCATTTGGGTGTAAGGTGACATTAAGGCTTCATTCGGTTGTAATGTGACATCTATGTGATATTTGGGTTTAAGGTGACATTTTTGTGAAATTATGGTGTAATTTGACATTTGGGTGTAAGGTGACATTTGGGTGTAAGGTAACATTTGGGTGTAAGGTGACATTTGGGTGTAAGGTGACATCTAGGTGACATTAGGGTTTAAGGTGACATATTTGTGACATTTGGGTGTAAAGTGACATCTAAGTGGCCTTTGGGAGTAAGGTGACATATAAGTTGCATCATATGGATGTTAGGAGATATCTAAGTGTGATGTGCCATTTGTTTGTTTTATGTAACATTTATTTGTTACGTAAAATATTTGTTTTATATGGCATCTGTATTATAAGATGACATCTGTTGATAATATACACTTGTGTCTCTATCGTGACATCTGAATATATTATGTAAAACCTGAATGAATTGATACTTGTGATAAAGGAATCAGTTTGTGTTTATTGACATTAACCATACATTTGACATTTGAATAGTTCAGTAAGAAATTTGAGTATAAAATTTTACATCATAATGTAGCGTATACAAGAAATTCAAAAACTTGCCCTATATGAATTTGGTCCGGTATACATTTGGTCGAACATACATCTGATCCATTATATATCTGGTCAAACGTACAACACCTAGTCCGACATACAACATATGGTCCAACATACAATATCTGTTCCGACATACAACATCTGGTCCGACATACAACATCTGGTCCACCATACAACATCTGGTCCGACATACAACAATGCGACCACCATACAACATTTTGTCCACCATACAACATTTGGGCCGACATACAACATCTAGTCCACCATACAACATCTGGTCCGACATACATCATCTGGTCCGACATACAACAATGCGACCACCATACAACATTTTGTCCACCATACAACATTTGGGCCGACATACAACATCTAGTCCACCATACAACATCTGGTCCGACATACATCATCTGGTCCGACATACAACAATGCGACCACCATACAACATTTTGTCCACCATACAACATTTGGGCCGACATACAACATCTAGTCCACCATACAACATCTGGTCCGACATACATCATCTGGTCCGACATACAACAATGCGGCCACCATACAACATTTTGTCCACCATACAACATTTGGGCCGACATACAACATCTAGTCCACCATACAACATCTGGTCCGACATACATCATCTGGTCCGACATACAACAATGCGACCACCATACAACATTTTGTCCACCATACAACATTTGGGCCGACATACAACATCTAGTCCATCATACAACATCTGGTCCGACATACAACATCTGGTCCGACATACAACAATGTGTCAACCATACAACACCCGGTCCGACATACAACATCTGGTCCGACATACATCAATGTGTCCACCATACAACACCCGGTCCGACATACAACATCTGGTCCGACATACAACAATGTGTCAACCATACAACACCCGGTCCGACATACAACATCTGGTCCGACATACATCAATGTGTCCACCATACAACACCTGGTCCGACATACTCCACCCGTCCAACATAAAAACCCGCCTGATTCAGCACATCCCCAAACCACGGCCCACATACCCCGCCATATTTACCTCCTGTTTACAAACGTTCTCCCGCCCTCGGACGGTGAGACGCGCGTGCTTGAAGGTCAAGGCCGTCAGGTAAAAACAAAAAAACCAGGTTCAGCATTACGGCCCTCCATCACGTGACTCATGTTTACCCATATGTATGGCGGATTGGTAAGGATTAGGCTCATCCTATCACGGCCAGATTTTCCTCCTGTAGTAAACATCCCCCGACCTCGCTTCGATTTCACATCTTGCACATCACCATGGCAACGATTATATACACATCAGGTTTGATTTTAGTCTGTAGACGGGATTTGAACCCGAAAACTAGGTGTATTCTGACAAGCAGGGATTGTTCAATTCAGTTGTTCGCACTTTGACCTTCTGTGTTCGATCTCCTGTCATTTAGACATTTGTCAGGAACAAGAACTCTGACACGGTCGGAAAAAGTGTAGCATTTTGTCGGTTATTTCCCCTTCTACATATTGTCAACTCATCAACAATTAATGCTATAACGGCTTTTTTAGTGAAGTAAACCTAGTATAGGTTGTTTTAAGTGAGATTGTGTTGAACGCATGGTAAATTCATTGTGCTAAATATTGAGTGGATTGTGTTAAACCTAGAACATTCTATGAATGTATAAACTGACCAAACCAGTCTGAACTAAAATAACAAACACAGTTAAAGTTAAATCGGCATTACTTAGTTTATGTTTTGAAAAAAGAAAAAAATGAGTGAGTTGTTTTTTTGGGTTTTTTTTTTTTTCTGGTTTGTTTATCTGCATATGAACCTTCTAGCGAATTAAAACTAGGTCGTACATTCTGTGAGATACAACAACTCTTCCAGACTGTGTTTAAACACAGCAAACAGATATCTGAACGTGTTGTGTTCAAACACAACTCACATCTGCTGGCAGTGAGTACGTCACATCTTGTACTGCGGGTTCTGTGACCTTTCTTGTAGAATTCCAGATTTGTCAATGCAGAGACGCATGACGTCACGATTGCACTTTCGATTTGCCAAGACGTTTCTGGTGCTGATCAAATGGAGCCACAAAAACATTCTACACGCACAAACACGTAGTTTTAAACGTGCATTCTTCGTCTGTACAAGTAGATATAATAACTAAATTATGTGTTAAAGATTTAAACAATAATAGTAATTTACATCAAAAATGTATAAGCATTAGTGACCATCGACCCACACTGTTGGCTATCTAACAATGAAGTAAAATAAATTAATTTGACAGATTTTTATACTTAAATAATACAATCTGTATATCTATTTTCAACAAGGCATTGATGATTATATTTTTCTCTATTTAAGATACCGCCCGCTATGTTATTTTACACTCTGTTAACAAAATATTCCCCTTTACATTTTTTTATAAACAAAAAAACCTACAATACATTATCTAACAATGGCTAAATATTTATAATTGTGCCTGCAAAATGTAATTATCAATCACGTCAAATAAGCTGTCTAGAAGTCGCGCCATTTTGTCTTAGAGTTAATGGGAGGTAACCCCTTGTTTTTGTTTGTTTACTTAATTTAATTCATGATTCGCTGTTATTGTGGTTCCTAAAAAACCTGGACTTTCCCGACCTTTGACCTTTTTATGCGGTGTTTTCTGCCATGTGGTTGTAACTTGCCCTCTGTTTGTGAAGAGCTCGCGGCATCTGGGCCAATAAAAACCCTCAGCTAAAGCGGAAAGGTGAGACAGGGGAGAGAAGAATAGACAGGGGGGATAATCTGTAAGTTCGCCGGATCGAAGTGGTCTCAACATCTGCTGGGTTTTTTGTTGGTTCGACAGAATGATTGAACTAAATCTCGCCAAAATGTAACTTAATCGGGCTCTAGAATCGGGCGCAAAACTTACCTGTTGGGTTTATTCCAAATACACATTTGTTTCTACCTCTTATTAATTTATTATTAAAAAGCTGTGAAAAAATTGCACGACTAATTAATTGACCAAACGTCTAATTACAAACATAAAGAGCTATTTGTATCTTAATTTTCTTCACACATGTGTAGTTAATCAACACACCTTTTTTATTAAAACGTTTTTCTTAACTCAGCTTCGCGTTTGTTTGGTTGTTTGGATGTTTGTTGTTAAAATTGACATCGAAAATTAGCCCACTTCTGATTGCTCTAGAGACCTGAAATTTGGCATGCATGCTACTTTCGCCTAACAATTTCAGATGCAATCATAAAAACTAGCAATTAGTGACCGTAATTAGCTTAATTTAATTACGCCCCAAGGACCATAAAATTGAGGACATGATTTCTAAAGATACCGACAAGACTGGAGGCCTATTGGCACAGTTACTTCGGCCCCAATTGATGTGAGCGCGCTGGCCGTGATCGTATAGTGGTTAGTACTTCGCGTTGTGGCCGCGACAACCCAGGTTCGAATCCTGGTCGCTCAAGATTTTTAGTCCGTGTATTTATAAACACTTTTTTAAAAACCACGTTTTTCATGTGTAGCAACGGACTAAAAAGGAGAAAATAAAATACTTAAAAAAAACTTTTTAAAAAACCACGTTTTTTATGTGTAGCAACGGACTAATAAAATACTTAAAAAAAAAACTTTTTAAAAAACCACGTTTTTCTTGTGGACTAAAAAGTAGAAAATAACTATTTACATACATTTGATGACAAAAAACGTGGGTACGTTCACCATCAAATTTCCCGACCCATCTGCCCGACCCACGTTTTTTGTCATCAAATGTATGTAAATAGTTATTTTCTACTTTTTAGTCCACAAGAAAAACGTGGTTTTTTAAAAAGTTTTTTTTTTAAGTATTTTATTTTCTCCTTTTTAGTCCGTTGCTACACATGAAAAACGTGGTTTTTAAAAAGTTTTTTATATAGTTTATTTTCTACTTTATCTAATCACTTGATTAAGTATGACTTGACTAAGTGTTTTTAAATACACGGACTAAAAAAATCTTGAGCGACCGATACGCTTTAAACAGAGAAAGGGTGTAATTTACGTTGCTGGCGTGGAGATCTACTCACGAATCACGTGATCAAATCTCCCATAAACAAACAAATAAACGCGAAGCTGAGTTAAGGAAAAACGTGTTTATGTGTATTTTAGCATGCCCAGCGTACCAACCGTGTCACCGTTAACAATGTGTTATCGTGTCCGTTCTCCTTTTTAAAACGTTTTTCTTAACTCAGCTTCGCGTTTGTTTGTTTGTTTGGATGTTTGTTGTTAAAATTGACATCGAAAATTAGCCCACTTCTGATTGCTCTAGAGACCTGAAATTTGGCATGCATGCTACTTTCGCCTAACAATTTCAGATGCAATCATAAAAACTAGCA